AGATCTACCTATTGAAGAATTGATAGAAAAAACATCCCAGATTATACTTCAAATTTGAGGCCTTTTACTTAGTATTTTAATTAGTGATGCGCCGGTCATAGCTGATTCAGAATTAAGATTTTCTTTTTTCTTTTTTTTTTAACTAGCAAATTGGATACTGATACTGATTTTTAAGCAAATGTATTTATTGACTAGTTGCTTTATAACAAACAAACTGGCTTTAAACAAAAATATCTAGCCATTTGAAATTAGAGGCAACCACTGCATTTTAATCAGCACGGGCAGTTGTTTTTTTTATTCGATTTAGATTAATTTCAGGATTTAAAACAAAAACAGAATGGTCTGACTTTAGGTGTTATTTATTTATTTGCTACATAAAACATCTGCGTGAAACAGCAGGTCTAAATGAGACGCACTCTCTGACAGCAGGTGGTACTAATGGACAGGGTTGCCAGGTTTTCGCAATAAAACTAGTCCAATCGTGTTTCGAGGGGGGTTCCCCTGTAAAAAGCGCATTCCAGGGGTAAAATATCACGTTATTGGGGTCGCTTCAACCTGCGGACATGAACAACAACCCGCGGCAACAGTGTTAAAGTAGCCCAATTCTGCGGGAAAACCGCGGACTTGGCAACACTGCTTATGAACCGCCCGCAATATAGCGTTTCCTTGTTTACCGCTGTAAATAAAGCAGAGCTGCGCTTTATACGGAGAAGAAGAAAATGCCATTGCCATCGAAACTTTTCTCAAGACAGTTCCCTTCAGTGATACATTAATATAACCCCAGAAATGTAATGCATTTTTGTACTTATTTTACTGTTATTTTCGGGATCTACTGGGACGAGTGCTCTAGATGCTATCTTCAGTGCTATATGGTTGGATGTTTGAGATATTAAATATCTCTTAATGGAAAGAAGAATTTTTAATATCCATTCACTGCACACACATCTTAATTCTGTCAGATTTAACATACTTAAAGGAATATTCACCCTAAAATGTAAACGCCGTCATAATTTGCTTACCCTGAAGTTGACAGTAGCCATTGACTTCCATAGTATTGACTTCCATACTATGGAAGCCAAAGGCTACCGTAAACTGGTTACCAACATTCTTCAAAATATCATCTTTTGTGTTCAACAGAAGAAAGAAACTCGTACAGGTTTGTAACAACTTGAGGGTGAGTAAATGATGACAGAGTTTTCATTTTGAGGTGAACTGTCCCTTTAAATAAGCATAGATTTGCTCTTTTTGAACTAATTTAAGAACATTTCCATCATTACTTACTGTGTTTTGTTAGGTAACATCCTATGAAAAGTAGCTTCATGATAAGGCTCAGTCTGGAAACATTAGGCCAATATTAAAGATGAAAGTCCCTGAAATGTTGTGTGTTTCAGGTTGGTACAGAGGATTCGTCCTCAAGAACACGAATGCCAAGGTAAGCAACTGTCTCTGTCTTTTATCAGTCGTGTCTTTGTGGGATGCTATTTTTAGTTCCTGAAATATCACAGCAACACCGTCAGCTGAAACACACGGATCAAATCCAATATCTTGCTTTATTTCTGTCTGTTTGCTCCCTTGATTATTAGTAGACTTATTCTTTTTTTATTTTGGTTTATTTATCTGTTTATCTATCTTTCTTTTTAGGGCATTTTCCCATGCAGCTACATCCATCTGAAGAATGCTCATATCAAGAATAAAGGGTGAGTTGAAGAAAAGAACATATTCATATGCTGTTTCAGTATTTACTGTAGTAAATCTCCCCCCATGATATTAGTAACATTTGTGTAATTTCAGATATCTGGCATGTCTGTGTAAAGTGCAAACATGCACATTTTACACATCTGTTCGCTATTGTTACTGCAATACAGCCACTTTAACTTATAGTTTGCAGTCTCCAAGAAAATGTTGTTCCGATGTGTTCCCATGCACCACTAAACCATCTGATTTGTTTTGTATTTTTCAGAAAAATGAAAAATTTTGTAAAATATATTTAGCCTTTCCTCATATCTCACACATTGTTGGAACTGAATTTTGTTGATAAACATCAATATGTTTCAACATGCTATTGACAAACTATTGCAGCATGAAAATTGCATATATTTTTTTTCATCTGAAAGTGAAAATTTATGTAAGTACAATGAATCTATTTTGTTTGAAAACTTTAATATTTATGTTGTTTTGTTAGAAATAAATATGTAGTTTTCATAAATTTGCAATCATGAGCTATAATGAAAAGATATATATATAAACCAGTATTATAATATAATATAATGATACAAAATCACACAAAATAACCGATGATGCTGTATTAATAATATTTCAATTAATCATAATATAATATAATATATTTTTTCACATTCACTCATTAATGAGAAGATACTGATCAGATACAATGTGGTTTTAAATCGAAAAATATTAAGTTTTTACTTTTTACAAAGCAACCAAACTACCCCAAATGCAAAAATCATATATACATTTTGAACATATTATGAGGGTTAAAAATAACCAAAATTGTGGCAAAATATTACTTTCGACTTAATCGATATAAACCGAAAAATCGCCAAGCCGTAATTCATACATATCTGGCCATGTAATTGTATTAGCTTCTTCCTTATAAATAAAAATAAGTAAGCATTATTATTACATATTTTTTGTAAATAGAAATATTTAGTAAAAAAAAAAAAATCATACTGACCCCAAACTTTTAAACGATAATGCAAAGTTAAATATTTATTTATCTTGGTATTATTTGTTGTACTGTCTATATTTTATGCTGGTTTAAATAAAAGTAAATTAATTCATTCCAGTAATGATAATCTAATGAGAATCACCACAGAAAGTATTGCAAAATTACAAAAATACTCACTCAAGTAAAACATCTAGACATATAGGCCTACATTTTCTTAATTTTATTTATGTGAATTATAATTTCTTATTTAACTATTTTGATTTCCGGCAGCCTAAATGATTAATTTCTTCCATGAGATTTTGTCCTAACCGGCAGCGATAAGCAGCAGGATCTTGGTTTTTTGCTTGGTTTGTAATTGTTTTATAGCCCCTAGCTCCACATAACTCCAATAACAGATACTTTCTGATTGGGTTTTGATTGTGAATTTATGCAGCATTTACGCTTGTATGATATGGTGAAACATGCTGGACATAGACTTGTAATGGTTGAATTATATTCATCTTTCACAGGCAGCTGGGTTTGGACCTGGTACCCAGGAGGGAGTTCAGCATGGTGGACCCGGATGAAATCAGCGTCACCGAGCTCTACCGGCTGGTATGTCTGTTTTGCTGCCTTACCACAACAACCTTGTTCCTGAGTCGATCATCTCAGAAAGATTTCTCTCCATCCCCGATTTAGCCACTTATCCGTTCCGTTAAACGCAAGATGCCCGCGATGAAAGCCTCACACGCTCCCATCAGCTCGCGGAACAGGCCCCATGGGGAAAATGACAGTAATTCTAAACCGCACAGACAAGATACGCCGCAGAAAATTACTGCTGTCATGGATGTGGAAGTCTGGTTGCAGGCTGGAGGGGTTGTTGACAGCGGGGAGCCTCTACTGTGATATAATTAAGTTTGTGGAGCATTACCTCGACTAAACGTGACCTGAAGTGTCCCAGTACTGGTGGCCTGACTACATTACCGCACCCTATCTGTGGTTTAAGTGGAGCTTTTTGCCATCAGCTGCATATGCAATAAAACACGAGGTGGATGTTTGCAACCTGCTAATTGGTGACGGCCAAAAAATAATTTGAACTCAAAAGTTATGACGGCTTTATTAACAGATCTTGTTTAAAATTAGAACTGGCGTTTATGATGAATGACTACCGATGCTAAAAAAGGAAGTTCTTGGCAGCCATTATTGATTTATTTGGGTTATTTTGTGCTATGATGGTCTAGTTTAGCTGTGATTGAATAGCAGGCATTTGGTGTGGGTTTAGACTGAGCTCATTACCTGTGACACATACCCAGAGTGTTGTGATGAATAGTGTGGGAGTGAATCAGGCCACAGTCTCACCACACACACTTTAATTAGTGCTGAGGATTCAGACATCAACACAAAAGAGTGTATGTGAAAGAAACTGGGAGATTGGAAGTGGGAAAACATGGCAAAGAACTATAAATCTGTATCAGCCAATACAATTTTTTTCTTTATCAGTATGATTTAGTCAATTTTAGAAGCAGATATCAAGAATGTTTTCACTTTTTAGTGGCACATTGTCATTCTTGAGGTTTTTCTTACTTGTTGGTTTGGTTTGGTTGATTATTCATGATAATTAATACCCCGCACATGCATTATCAAAGTACAGGCGGTCTTTGTTTGGAGTTCATGATGTGAAAGTAAGCGGTTTAGAGTCCAGAACCTTCTGGCCTGCCAAACAGGGAATAAAGTCCTTATTGAAATTCCAGTGCTTTATCTTTTTAGCCTATTCATTCCCATTAAAACTCTGTTGTTTGAGTTTCCGTTAACGTTATTTCTCGTGAAGGAGGAACTACTGCTCTCTTTGATTAATTTTTTACTTCTGTTATTATGATACTTCAATACCTTTGTTTTTATTCATACAACTCAATATTATTTAAATATTGTTTTCATAATTATATCAGTTGTATAAAGTACAGTACTATTATGATTATTATTTAAAATAATTATTTCATAATTATAACAGTTGTATGAATAAAATATGGTTTGACATTTTCATAAAGTAGAATTTTATTTATTTTTATTTTTTTTATTGTTTTAGATGCAATTAATTATTTACCCTTTTACATACCGTAATTATTTTACATGTGTTAGCATCTCATTAAATTCATTACTTTAAAAGAAATAATTATTTATTATTTATTACATTACATTATTACATTTTTATGTTCTTGCATTTATTTTATTTTGGATGCAATTTAATTATTTACCTTTTTGCATATCGTAATTATTTTATATATTATTTTAGCACCTAATTAACTCATTACCTTAAAATACATTATTATTTATTATTTATTGCATTATTACGTTCAAGCATTTACAAACTATTAATGTAGCTTTTTTTATAATTGCAAACTTTTCATTGCATTCTCCTCATTTTCTGTTTTGCAGGGGATTGTGAGTAATATTAGCCAAAAAAAATAAATTCTTATCAGCACACCACTGATGTACTCTTTTTAACATAGCTTGGGACACATTAATACTAATGACTGTCAATTTACTTGAATAATTGCTTGCAAAACTTCCAGTGCTGATTAAGTGAGAAATACTTACAGGCTACATGTCATTGTTTTAATTTAATTGGTTAGTATTAGACCAACTTTTTAAATTAAAGTGTGTTCATTAGTGTTTGTCTCTCTCCTCCTCATGCATACACACAGATAGAGCACATGTGTACTTCCCATTGGTCTTTTTATATTTCACATCACGCCTGTTCAGATCTCTGTGTCCTCACACAGAGATGTGCAATCAGAATGCGGTGCGGTTCAATGACTCACACGGTCCAATAACTGATGCTCCCATGTGAGAAGTGTGTTTGTTTCACAAAAACGGCGTGAATGTGCGCTTAAAATAAGCCTGTGTGCAGTGATATGCATGTGAGTGTGTGTGTGTGCATTTGACATTGCACTCTGTGGTGCCATTGCAAAGAAAGGAGCATATTAACTGAAACAAATTAGATTTGGCTGGCTGTAAAGGAGTTGTGATGTGAACATGGAGGTGCTGGAATTCAGTGGAATATTCAGTGCATTTCTGATGATATTATGCACAGCTTTTCCTGCTTTTCTTGGTGTTAAAAAAGAAAATCACAATGCAAAGTCTTCATATGCATTGTGTTACTGGGTCACTTTTATGTCTTGCTTTATTGAAAAAATGGATGCATCACATATAGTCACTTGTATGTGTTTGGATGGATAGATGGAGAATCGGCAACGGAAGAAGGAAACTCCGACTCCTGTCAGCACACATCACCTGTTTGTCCATTTGAAGAGTCTGATGAGCTCAAACCTGGGTGAAGACCTGGAGGTCTTCTTCTTCATCTATGATAGTCGAGAGAACAAACCGCTCAGGTGAGCGTCTAACCAATCATTTATACATGGTTATAAATGTATTATAAATGTAGATTTACACTGGTACACTACCATTCAAATGTTTGGGGTCGGTAAGATTTTTAAAATGTTTTTGAAAGACGATTCTTCTGCTCACAAAGACTGCATTTATTTGATCAAAAATACAGTAAAAGGAGTAATATTGTGAAATTCTAATATGCTGATTTGATGTTTGGAAACATTTCCATTTTCTAATGAAAGCCTGTTTCCACCACATAATAAAGAAATAAAAAGGTAATTGAGACACAATTCTGACTTTTTTTCTCGCAGTTGCGTTTTTCTGCGTTTATATCTCACAATTCTGAATTCTATAAACTCAGAATTGCACGAAAAAAAATGTCTGAATTGTGAGAAGTCGTCGGCGTTACAGTTTTTGTTTTGTTTTTTTAATCCTGTGGCCTAAACGAGCTTTGATAGCAATGTTATAATAAAAGTCCTTTTGTGGTAAAATATCCTATTTGTATCCAGGATGTGATCTTCAATCATAACCTCATTACATGAACTTCATCCTGTGTTTGTTCCTGGCCACTGGCAGACAGATGAAAAACAAATAAACCGTTTTCATCAGGGAAACACCTGCAGTGGAGGCTGTGAGAGCATTCAAATGGTTTTTCTTCTGTGTGTGTGTGTGTGTGTGTGTGTACCTGTTTATCTCATCTAATGGTTAATTACAGACTGTAACCGTCTCAGCAGCTGCTCGCTGGCGTTTGCTCACATTGTCTCAATGTTTTCCCACTGTTCATTGATTGGAGTTTTTTTCCCTCAGTCCCTGTCTGTAGTCTTAAAGGAGAATATTAATGTGGCTCTGATTTCCCTACCTGGTTAGTTGACTGGTTTCCAGTTAATTATTCTTCTTTTTTGTTTCTATATAGAATGGTGGCTCCCTTTTTTTTTTTTCCCCCAGCCTCTGCCAGACTAGCCTGCGGCTTCAAATCTGCTCAATGTCCATCCTGACAGCTCCTGTGGATTTAATCACACTGCTGCCCAGATTCCCGGGAATCACTAGGGCTGTATCCCAATTTGTATATTTTACACTAAATGCATTTAATGTGCTGTTGTTACACACGTTACACACATTACTGATGTAAGAATGTATGCAAGAAACATCTACATTTATGCATTTACCAGATGCTTTTATCCAAAGCAGCTTACAAAAGAGCAACAAAAGCAATGCATTTATTGCTGAATTGATGAAACTAGCCTAGGAAGGAAGCTAAGAGAAGAAATGCAGGAGGAGGAAGTTGATTTATTTGTTTATGTATGTATTTAGTTTAATATATGATTTTGGAGATATACAGTGTTGTTGCATATTAGTATTATTTTGTTTATTTATGACTTATTTCATTTTTATTTCTATTTGTCTGTAATTTAGCATCTTGCTAAATTCAATTCCTTAAATTACAATAAAAAAAAGTCAAAAGAGAGCTATTATAAACTCATATTATTACATTAATCTATTATTACATTAATCTATTATTATATTAATTTATTATATACAATTTTCTTTTTCTTATTATTAAAATTAAAAAATAATAATTTCTTATAAAGTGTATTTGTATCATATATTAATTTATTATTTTTATATACTATTATTATTATTATTATTTATTAAAATAAACAAAATTGTTTTCTAATTTACAAACTAAGTTGAATTTTTATTTATTTATTTTATTTTATTTTTTTTACTTGTACTGATCCTGCTGCATTCAGCATCAGTCCTGGTGTTATGCAGCTCATGTTACCAGTTATACCCATTTCGTCTAGCGGCACACGGACCGCGAGTGCTGTTACAAAAAGACGAGGGTGCTGTTTGTATTAATTTTTCTTTAGACCGTCTGAGCGCTGCCACCAAAAGCCCCTTGTGTCAAGTCAAGTGTTTGTGAAAGAGTATCTGTGTATCATTTTTGCCACATGATGTGTACAAAGTGCTGATTGACAGCTTTCTAGGTAACGCCTCCCCCTCTGTTCCCACAGGACCGTTTTGTGGCACGCTTAATATATCCACCCAGACATACAGGGATCACTTAGCCGGCCATGCCGATTTATCCAGATTTATCCGGCGGGAGACGGGAGGCGGGGGGCTCGTATCGGTGTCCCATTTGAACTTGTCGTGTTTCAATCCCCAGCATCAAGGGAGGAAATATCAAATACTAGGGCGAGAGTGAAAGAAAGCCGCCCGTCTGTGTGTTATGGAAATGTTGGAGAGAAGACCGAAAAACAATGCACACTTTTTGTGGTGAGTGTTGAGATGAAATCACTGCCAGAGTAATCATGCAGAGTAATCTGTGTTGATTAACTATCATTTGTTTTGTTCAGGATCTGGGCAGCGGCGACCTGAGAAAAGACGTGTATATTGTCGTACACATCATTAGGATTGGTAAAAGCCGATATTTCTCCACTGAATAATTACTGATTCCAAAGAGTCTGAAGACGTGTGATGAGCGCTGATTGTTTCGTGTGTGTGTAGGGAGGATGGGTGCAGGAGAGAAGAAAAACACGTGTAATGTGCAGTACAGACGTCCGTTCGGCTGTGCTGTGGTCAGCATCGCTGATCTTCTCACTGCTGACTCTAAAGACGACCACCTGCTGAAGGTCTATGCGTAAGTGACCCTCCACACACACACACACACACACACACACCGCATAACACCTCAGGACCGTGAAATAAACTAAGTCTGACTTCCTGTTTTCAGACTTACTCTTTCCCCTGATTGGCCAGATTGGATGTGGTTGCCTAGTCACCATTGTGTTCATGTTCAATAATTTTCTACAATTATGGAGAATCTGTGAATATAAGGGAATTTTAAAATTGTGATGTCCAGAAAAAATTTGCCTTGAAAATAGTCTTAGATGATGACAATGTATGAAACACATAAATAAGTAAAGATGTGGGGAAAAAAACAGTATTAGATGATAACATGGCATGAAACGCCAAAATAAATAATTTAAAAAGTCATAAATTCCAAGCCGCTTTTTCACTTTTTTTTAAATTTTTATTTAATAAAGATAATCCATCAACAACTTTATTAAAAAAACTATCTAAAAGATTTGTTTAGTAATTTGTCAACAGGGAAACATTGTAAGTAGACATTCTTTTATATATAAAATGTATCCGTTTAAATTACAAAAATTATTTTTACCAGATGTGTTTTGCTCTAGATCTTTGTTGGTTCACACATTATCAGCTGGCTCGTGGCCAGTCTTTCGGGCTGCTAATATGATTGCACAGATATGAATCTGTGTGGCACTGTGATTGAATCCAGCACTCTGATTATCCTTGTTTTTTGCAGTTGCAACACAGAAAGTGACTGGAGTCAAATACACGACAACATCATCAAGAAAGTCAACTCCAGATACAACCTCTCAGGCTCCAACACAGGTAACAAAACCGTCACAAGCCTGAGATTCAGTCAAGTCATTTATTGAAAAATTTTTCGTAAAAGGCTCAGAAATTGCCATGGTTATGACATCATACCATTAACATAAGTCTATAGTCTTCAAAGGTACTGTAACATAACAGCCTTTTTTTATTCTAAAGGTCGGAGAGAGGCTGGAAAATGGTCATAAAAACCCAATCAAGACTGTTTGGTGCATGAAACATTGGACTTAAATTAAATACCCCCATTTTCAGCATAATGCTTGTGTACGCGCTTTGCCAGCATATCTGGCGGTGGTATAAAGATGCTCGGCTCTCCCAGAAACCTCATTTGCATGATGACTAGAAGTTAATAATTTTAGATCTGAAGAAGCATGAAAGGACCCTGAGGGTGGCTTATCCGAACAGCTACACATGGTAATAAATTTATTTCCTGCAGGGGGAAAAAAAACATAAAGAAGCACAAGCATCCAGATGGTAGATTTGCAGCTTTTTGCGATTTCTGCATTTTCTGTGAAGGGCTAGTAAATGTACGCAGCACCTCTACATCCGTTAGATGTTGTATAATCGCATCACAAAAGCAGGGAATACATTAATTATGATGACTGACTCAGTCATTTATTCACCAAACAATGAACAGTAATGCTCACAAAAGCTGCATCAAGATTTTATCCAAATTAATGAAGATGGGATTTCTGCTAACATATGAAATAATTCAGTGCAGGTTTGTTAAACGCCTGCTCATGCGGTGGGAAATGAGATCACATCCGTACTATGATACACACTCATCATGTTTCTATTAGATTAATCTCTACCACATCAGTTACGCTGAGCAGAACAAAGAAACAGCTTTATCAGGACCTTATTAAACATTATGATAATGGGCTGAAAATAAATTAACTGTACTTGGACTGTAATCATAGAGCAATGTTACATTAGAAAATCCAATGGAGTTTTGTTCATTTAGAGCCAATCCTAAAGGGCGCTTAACATTTAGTTGAATTTAATTTAGTTTGTGACATTTATTATTTAATTACTTACTTTTATTCAGATTGTATTTAAACTTAATATTATTTTATTCACATAAAATAATAATAAATTAAATTATTTAATTTAATTTGTTTACTTTTTATTTCATTTTGTTTACATTTTTATTAAAGATTTTGCCTTGATTTTATATTTAACCTTGACATCCATAAATGTCTTATATAGTGACTTAAATACCCTATGCATTATGCATTCAAATGTAAATCATGTGCATAGCACATTTTATTAATTATTGTCTTCTAATTGCTGAGAAGTGAATACATGCTATACTGACGTAACATTTTGGGTTTGGGTAGGTTAGTTTGGCTCAATTCCCACGTGCACGCTCTGAATCTGTCTGTGTGATTAATGGAGACGTTGTGCGAGTTCAGTAATTAAATAATTCTCCACCAGCACTTCTCTGACCCTGTGCCATCAAACAGCGACTATACAACATGAAGCCGTTGCCATTGAGTATTTATGATCAACCTCAGCGCTGCTTCAGAGCATCATTAAGAGCTGCAGTAGTACAGGCCCTGATGCATGTTTGCTTAATCATTTTACTGTCATGTAACGATGGGCCATTGCATTATTTTCCATCCTAAGCTGCCCAGTTTTCCAAAGCTCAGCAAAACTCTGACCTGACTGCTCAGACAACAAGGAAAACAGGTTAAAAATAGCTGGAAATTACGTGTAAGGCAGTTTTATTTTAGAATCATTGCAAATTTTTTATTTTTTATTTTTTTTAAGACATAACTAAAATACTTTCAATAGTTTTAATGTTTGTTTTTTGCTAAGTTTTATGGTTTTAACTATAATAACTCTGGTGTAAAGAGATGATTTCCTGTAAAGTTGCGGACGATAGTTGGCGTGGATCAATTTCAGTCAGTTTCATGTGGTTAGAATTTTTTACAAGAGGCAGTTCTGGGCTGATAGTGTGTTTTTCGGTACATAGCATCACTTTCACATCATTACTTGTGAATATTCATTACCATTGTCACAAAAGCAGTGCAGTTTACACAAATGCAAACCACTCGGATATTGACCAGAAACACTGCCAAATCTCTTCTGGACAGAATACAATTAGGCAA